AAAAAAAAAAAAAAAAAAAACCGAGTCGGGATCCTCAGGACACAAGGGTAAGTAAATAATGACAGATTTGACATTTTTGGGTGAACTATTCCTTTAAAACCCTATAACATGTTGTAGGATTTACTTTGAAACAACTTGCTAGTAAATTTCACAAATAATTTTAAAGAAAGGACAAGTAACACTTTAAATTAAATGTGAAATTTCGAAGTAGAAAGTACTCCAGTTCTCCAATGACTTCTTTACAACTTCAAACATTTTTTTTTACATCTGTAGTTTTTCCTAAGTATGTTAGAGAAAGAAGTAAAGAAGAATTTAAACTTAATTCATTATATAAATATTAATAATTAATCTTATTTCAATGGACTTATTATTCATCCCAATTTCATAGACTAAATTCTGTTTAATGAGGGTTATGCACAACAGACTTCCGTATTCTGTTAACCGGGTCTCGCCGCTTCCGGTTCAAGCGTTTTGCATATGCTTCGTTAAATATGAAGCAGTTTTACTCAAGATGCCTTCAAAGTAGATACCAAAGATTATCATAACCAATGTCCATCACATATGCGGAATGATATCTAAAAGTTTTTTTATTTTTATTCTTTTCACTAACATTTATATTAAAAAATTGAATAAAACGTCAACAATAAAAACAGCTAGCTAGTTTAACTGATTATCTTAAAAGTCCATAGATATCGCTATTATTTAATCCGGCTGTTAGCACGTTCTCCGACAAGCGGAAGCGATGAGACCTGTTTTCCGGGTTTGGTCAGGTGACGTTCGACATATACCCTATTACCTAAAATATTCAGATCACATGACCTTCTATAACACCCTCGTTCAGACAGTAGACATTCTCACCTAAATAACACCTAGTCCCATCTAAATTGGCAAATGAAATCACAGACGTCCTCTGTTAATAAATGAAACTCAGACAAACGAATCCTGACGGAATAGTGCTAAACAGCGTATGTTCAGTTGCACACATACAACAAGTCCAAGGCTCAGACAGATGTACCTGCAGGGAAAAGGTGAGCTCCAGGTCTGTTTCCATCAGGCCGCTGGGTGGGAGCATGTACTCATTCGACCTCAGGATGCGTTTTGACCCCTGAGAACGTGGAAAGACATCTGATCTCAGTCTCTTACGAACACATGTATTCATTAAAGGATTAGTTCACTTTAGTTCACATTAAAGGATTAGCATTTGTGTTTAAAAAGTATATACATTTTTTTTTTTTACTTTTTTTTTTTAGAAAATGACAGATCGTTTCGCTAGATAAGACCCTTATTCCTCGGCTGGGATTGTGTAGAGCCCTTTGAAGCTGCACTGAAGCTGCAATTTGGACCTTCAACCTGTTGAGCACCAGTGAAGTCCATTATATGGAGAAAAATCCTGGAATGTTTTCCTCAGAAACCTTCATTTCTTTGTGACTGAAGAAAGAAAGACATGAACATCTTGGATGACATGGGGGAGAGTAAATTATCAGGACATTTTTATTCTGGCAGTGAACTGATCCTTTAATAATCACAGAAGAAACTTCAGATGCACTCTAAAGCAAATCAAAACAAATGCTGAAGCAAAGTTTGGAAATAAACCCACGCAGTCTCAAAACTGAAAGGAATGATGAGTACTGACTGATACTTGCAAACTGAAATGCTGTCCGTACGGTTTGACAGCGAAAGCACAAAACAAGACACAAAATGACTCAGTCACACTGAATGTGTTGAATAATTTTTGTTTCTTGTTACTGTCCGATTCACTGGCTGCAAACCAGGCACATTTGAGAGGCCAGTCATACTAACTAGACAACAGGGGCCCCTGCTTTAGCATTCATCTGTCTGACACACACACACACACACACACGCACACACACGCACTCACACACACACACACACACACACACACACACACACACACAGATAATCACTACTGGTTGAACGATATGGGGTTTTAATGACAAATGCACATATCTACACATATCTAAACATTGGCAGAGTGGCCCATGGCTATGTTCCAGTGTGGAGTCCGTAAGATTGGGGTCAGAAGTCTCTTCTGCTCACCAAGGCTGCATTTATCAAAATTACTGTAAGAATAAAAATATTTTTACAATTTAAAGTAGCTGTTTTCTATGTGAATATCTGTTAAATTGTAATGTATTTCTGGGATGCGCAGCTGTATTTTCAGCATCATTACTCCAGTCTTCAGTGTCACATGATCTTCAGAAATCATTCTAATATGCTGCTTTTCTGCTCAAGAAACATTTCTGATTATTATCAATGTTGAAAACAGTTGTGCTGCACATTATTGTGGAACCTACGATACGGTTTCAGGATCACATTTTTTTTTCAGGATCCTCTGATAAATATAAATGTCAAAAGAACAGCATTTACTTGAAATATATATATATATATATTTTTTTTTTTTTGCAACAATGTAAAAGTCTTTAATGTCATTTTTGATCAATTGAATGCATCCTTGCTGAATAAAACTATTAGTAAAAAATAAAATCCTACTGACCCCAAACTTTTGAACGGGAGTGTATAATACAATTCAAAAGTAGATAATAAAATGTGCACAAAACACATTAATTAAAAATTTACCAAAAAATATATATATAAAAAAGAAACTATCCATTGAGAGTTTGACAAAAAAAAGTTTGACTTCTGATAGATTCTGAAACTGACTCTTGGTGGCTAAATAATCTAAATGTAAAAATAAAATAAAATAAACAAAATCTGGGGTCTAAAGGCTCTATAATGTTTGAGCACAGTATATAAATCAGAAACACAGTCAAGGTCGGCGCTTCACAACCTTCCCACTCTGTCTGAGACCGTTTTTATTTTCTTCTTTGCTGTCGCTGTCAATTTTCTGTATATGACCAAGTAACAATTACTGAACAATGAATAATCTACCACAGTAGGTAAATGTAAAGTTCAAAGCTCATTGTTGCTTCTTGCTGGTTCAGATGACATTTCCTCTGAACTGTTTACAGCCGAATACACGTAAAATAAATGAACAAATACTGCCAGTGATTTTTCAGTAGTCTCTTAAAGGGGTCATATGATGCTTTTTTAAAGATCATTATTTTGTGTATTTGGTGTAACAGAATATGTTGACATGCTTTAATGTTAAAAAAACACATTATTTTTCAAATACTGTACATTATTGTAGGTCCTCTATGCCCCGCCTCTCTCAAACACGTCGTTTTCAACAAAGTCCCTCCTTCCGACAAGCGCAGTCTACTCTGATTGGCCAGCTGACCCAGTGCATTGTGATTGACCGAACACC